ATCAACCAATAACCAATGCTGGCAAGGCTGTGGAGAAATAGGAACTCTTCTCCACTGCTGGTGGGAATGCAGACTGGTGAAACCACTGTGGAAATTAGTTTGGAGATTCCTCAGCAAACTAGGTATAGAGGTCCCATTCAACCCAGCTATTCCCCTTCTGGATATTTTCCCAGAAGATCTGAAAACCTCATATCACAGCAATATATGTGCCCCCATGTTCATAGCAGCGCAATTTGTCATTGCTAAATTGTGGAAGCAACCCAAATGTCCATCCACTGAGGAATGGATAAAAGAATTGTGGTACTTTTATATAATGGAATATTACTCAGCTATAAAGAAAGATAAACTCAAGGCTTTTACAGGTAAATGGTCACAACTAGAGACCATATTCATAAGTGAAAAATACCAGACCTCCAAAGCAGCATATTATCTCACTAGTGTAAGAATCTGAAAGAGTGAATAAAAATTAGGAGGTATGATAGACATTGTGAAATGAAAAGAAAATGCTCAAAAGAAAAGAGCAACTGGGGTGAGGGAAAAGAGAAAAGAAAGAAGGGGAAATTATGTATGTATACAGGATAGCTAACATAGTTGTACTACTGACTTCTATCACTTTACTGAAAGGAACAGTTAATGATTACTTATTTGATCAATCTTGCATGTCTCTATTTGTTTTCCTGAAAAACCACGTTGAAGATATCAATACGTAATGCAAGCATTGTTAATTTCCTGCCACTTTGTCTGTAACTCTGTTTTGTTTGTATTGTTCTTATGCTATTTTTTAAATGGATGTGTTTGTTAAGATGTCTTCCTTCTTTCATTTTTAAAATAAATTAAAAAAATAAATAAATCTAATGTCACGCTGTTACTATAGCCCTGTAGCAGGTGGAGACAAATGCTTTCTTCTGTATCACAACTTTCCTTCACCCAGAGCTTTCGGACTCTTGAAAGGAGGATTCAAGGAAGGTCAGAAGATGACCAAGATCACTCTCACCCTGTTCCCTCTGATCTTTGAGCACTGGACCTCAACCCACCTGTTCCTGAAGAATGCTACATCCCTCTGTGTCTCCTTCTAGACTCTCCCTCAGTCCAACCCCTTTTGGGCATTCTGAATTCATTTTATAGACCTCACCAATTGGAAGCCCACCCATAGGCCAAATTCAGATTCTCTCACCATTCTGGGTTCCATACAGATCATAAGAGGTGTTTCTATTTCTCCTTCTGTGTTCTGAACATTCTCTAATGTTAAGGGGCTGCTTTACAGGGAGTTTACGGAGAGGCTGGGCATCTGGGCAGCCTGATTCTTCCCTCTAATGTCACAGAGTCTCTCATGTGAGCTATACAAACCTTGACTTTCACATCCAGAAATGCTTATTTTTTGAGTAAAAAAAATAACCACCTATGTTAACTTTGTACTTCTTAAAAATGTAATGCAATGATCATTAATTAACTTTATAATATACCAGCTGATTTATAAAAGAAAAAATTAGCACTAATTCCATTCCTCTAGGAAACTTAAATAGGCTGTATATTTTCCCTGCCTCCATACCCTTATTCCATGCACACAAATGCATCCCATGTGCCAATATACGCACGCCTCCCACACATATGCTAGATTTTGAATCTCTTGGAGGTAAATATTTTTATCCATTTTGAGCATTAAACACAGTGCCATGAATGTAGTAAACTCTGTCAATGTTTGTTGAATGGAGATGAAGCCAAGTATTAGGATCTCTGTAAATCTTGGCTCTAAATGAAACATTATTTCTCTATTTACAAAAGTCACTGAATTCTTACTGGGTATTCTAAATTTATTTCTTATGCACATTAATTTCACAGATTAAAAATGCAATCTAGTCTCACTTCCAGACGTAAGGGGCAGAATATTCTCAGCAGGATCTCAGATAAGCCCACTTTTAATTTCCAGCTTCCCTTCCCCAGATGTTTTGGAAAGATAGAAACAATCTAAATCAGTAAAAGTAATGCTATGTTGGAATGGCAAAAATGAAGTCAGAGGCCCATTTATTTGTTTCTCTGTACACATATCTCAATAAGATCAATAACTTGCCTCTGTAGTGGTGTTGTGCAAATTTTGAATCTTCTCTTAAATTATATTGGTGACCAAAATTTTTTTTACTTTTATATGTTAATCTAATGACCAGCTACTTGTTAAACTCTCTTATTAACTAACTAATTTGTAGATTCATTTGAGTTTTCTATATGATTATATTGCTTGAAAATGGAAGTTTTATTTTTTCCTTATTGTTATACCTTTAAAGAAAGACAACATAAATAGAATTAAATTATTATAAAGTTATTAAATTTGTGAAGCATGGAGTACAATTTAAAGCAGGTAGTCAGAACTGAAAGAGGGAAGCAGAAGATGTACCTTCTAGGCATCCTGTCTTGAGAATGTATTGCGTCTTTTGATTTTTAAAATAGGCTTTCAGAAGTCTAAATTGACACGGTCTGTCATTTCATCATGTGAGTACCATAGCATAGCTCATGATGTATTTAACAAACTCCTTAGTGACCACATATATACTGTCTACAGCTTTTCTCTGATATAAACGTGGATTCTGTGAATGCAGTTTTATAGTTTTTCCCTGGTTAAGCAGGCATTACTTTTTAGGGTACTTTTAATGTTCACTGTAAAAGTGATCAGAAAGTACAGAAATCCCACATAATCTATTCCTTTCCATATGCGGAGCTTCCTCGACTATTGACACCCTTCACTACTTGTTAGGACGGGTGAGTCTCCACTGACATGTCACTATCATCCAATGTCTATAGCTTTCTGTAGGGCATGTGCTTGCTGTTGTGCTTTTTATGGGTTTTGACAAATGTGTATCAACACGCATCCACTATTACAGCATTATATACAGTAGTTTCACTGCATCCCAAATCCTGCATGTTTGATTTATTCATTCCTTCCCCCCCACAACATTTAGAAATCATTGATTTTACTGTTTCCATATTTTTGCCTTTTCCAAAATGTCATGTAGTTGGAATTAGACGGTGTGTAACCTGTATAGATTGATTTTCTTCACTTAGTAATATGATTTCTTCATTCAGTAACATGGTGTTTTCTCTGTTTTTTCATGATGTGATAGCTCATTTCATTTTAGCACTGAATAATATTCCATTGTCCATATACACCATGATTTATACATTTTCCTACTGAAGGGTATTGTAGTTGTTTCTAAATTTTGACAGTTATGAATAAAGGTGCTATAAACTGCAGGTTTTTCTGAGGTCATACATTTCCAAATCATTTAGGTAAATGCCAGTGAGGATGATTACTGGGTCTGTTGTTAAGAGTATATTTAATTTTGTAAGAAAATGCAAACTGTCTTGTGAAGTGGCTGCATCATTTTGTGACCCATCAGCAGTGAATTTTTGTTCTTGTTGGCATTGTTCTGAATTTGTGTCATTTTAATAGTCATGTGATAACATTTCATGGTGGTTGTACTTTGCAAATCCCTAGTGACATATAATGTTAAGTATATTTTCTTAAGTTTACTTACCAAGTCTTTGTGTATTTTTAAATCTGCTTGCTCATTTTCTTATTGTTAGGTTTTAAATATGTATAGGTTGGATAGCATTTATTTACCAGTTATAACTTTTGCAAATATTTCTCCCAGTGTGTGGCTTATCTTCTTGTATTCTTGAAGAGCAGAAACTCTCTTTCATGAATCATACTTTTGGTATTGAATCTAAAAAATCATCTCCATGCCCAAGGTACTCTGGAATTTTCTCCTATGTTAACTTACAGGCATTTCATAAATTTGTATTGTACATTTAAGAATATATAACTTTTTGTAATGTGAGGAATAATGTTGATTTTTTCCTTGGTAACTCTTGACTTGATTCGCTCCGTGAAAAATACTAGATCTCAAATTGTATGTATATATGTGTGATGTGTGTGCATGTTATAAGAGAGAAAATTTAGATCAAGTTTTAAACTTTGAGTAAAAAATATGACTAGAAAAAAGAATAAAATATCAGTAACCACCCGTGGAAAGAATTCATTATATTTAAAAATTCATAGTAAATTCTTAATGGATATTTTTATTATAGTGGAAATTTGTTATAAAATGAATACTGAGAGCCAAGATAATACCAACATAATAAAATTTCCTTAGGCTAGTGACAAACACAAATTGTATGTAATTTATGCATTCAGGAAACATGATTAAAATCTCCATTTTAAAACTGAATTTTACTGAAGCACATACTTTAGTATCTATCTCTAAAAAGTTTAATGTGATATAACATTTAACAGAAGTTTCTTTTTAAGAATGTCACAGTTTATTAGGCATATATGCCCTATACATGCTGTCATGACAAAAAAGAAATAAAGAATAAAATTTATGTCGAGTGGGAACTTTTACATCTCCCTGAACAATAAAGATGAAGAATAAGGTTTGTTCGTTTACTGGGGAGGGGGCACAATAAAATCTCACAGATGGGGAAGGGGAAGAGAGAGAGGAACCTCAGGTAATTGAGAAATTCATCTAGTTCCCATAACATCAGTTCCACATAAAGTAAATTATCTTAAAATCCAACTTATTCAAGAATATCATCCACATTTGCTGATTTTGTAAGTCAATGTACAGAGAGTGAAATTTCTTTACAGACTTGGCATGTAATGTTGTAAGAGTTTGTATGTGATTTTGGTTGATATTTTTTCCCACATTTAACATATTAAAAACAGTAAGAGCTAATAAGAAACAATGTTTGACTCTTAAAAAGATTATAAATTTAATTGCATCAGAGAGAAATCTGACACTTTAAAAAAATGTATATAGTACATGATAAACTAACTTTGATATTGGGTGTTTCACAGTGAAATCTTTTGGCTGAAACATCTTAAGTATTAGATGGTCCTTCTATGCTGGGAAGATTCTTTGGCAGTTTCTGTCCCAACTGACTAGCTGGAGGGAACGAAACAGCCAAGCTTCATTTGGAATTTAACTGCTGAAAATACAGTCCACTTTCTTCATGGGAAAACAGTGGAGATAAAGAACAATAGACTTTTAAGTGTGTTCGTGTGACTAAGAGAAGATGATAGCACCTGAATCTATAATCAGCAACAGGTAATTGATAACTGCTTTCTGTTTAATCCATGCTAGTTGCAAGGGTAACTGCTCTGTTTTAGAAGCAAGTGAGAAAACATTTGAGGCCAATGCATTTCAAACTACCTAAAAATTACTTTTCATTTTTAGTACAGCTTGTGATTATTTTTGTTCTGTTTAATGTCTGTTAAAATGTCGATATTTGTTAATTTCCAACTGGGCATGTTTTTGGTGTCACTTTTCCATAAGAAGATACAGCAATGCATTTACCTATATAACTGAAATAAATCAGGTCTGCATGTGTAAATATCATATTGTCTCCCTAGCGTAAGAACCTGAAAGAGTGAATAAAACCCAAAATGTACAATAGATAATATGAAAGGGAAAGAAATTGCTCAAAAGAAGGAACAACTGGGATGAGGGAAAGAAGAAAAAGAAAGAAAGAAGGAAGGCTGTATAAATAGATAGATAGCTGGGACAACTGTACTGCTGATATCTGGTGGTTCACTGAAAGGAACAGCTAATGTTTAAAAATTTTTTTTTATTTTGACCAATTTTGCATACATCTATCTGGCAATCTGAGCAACTGATTTGAAGACAACAATATGCAATATAATAACCATTGGTGAATTCCTACCATCTTGTCTAGTGAAACTCTGTATTGTCTCTAATGTTTGTTTTTTTTTTTTCAGACTATCTCCAACTTTTAGTATGTTTTTTTTCAAATTATATTGACATCATTTTTTTTTTTTTTTTTTTTTTTTGGTGCTAGGAATGGATCTCAGGACCTTGTCATTGTCAGGCAGGCACGTGTGCTGTTAAGATATATCCTCTGCCCTGACATGAACAATTTATATTATTTTTACCAGTCTTCTCTCCATGAATAATTTTCAAAATAATCTTATGTAGAATTTCATATATAGAATTTCATTTCACTGTGATTTCTTTCATACTTTTGACTTTGAAAATGTATACTGAATGCTTTTCCACATTGCGTACATAGGCTTTGGCACAACGTGACATCAATCTGAAGGTTACTGTCTCTGTCAGATGAATTTTCCCCCACATTTCTTGTACACACAGTTACTCCCCAGAGGGGAATTTCAAAATTTTAAGATGAAAACATTGCAGCAAATCCTTTCCATATTGCTTACATACAGTTTCTCCATTATGTGCATTATTTCGTGTCATGTGATGGAATTTTAGTTCACTGTATGTACAAGAAGGGTACCTTTACAGCTAAATGCTTTTCCACATTGCTTACATATGTAGTTTTTCCCCAGTGTGAATTCGTTCATATACTAGAAGGTTACCATTTTGCATGAATGCTTTCCCACGTTGCTTACATGCATAGAGCTTCTCCACAGTGTGAATTCTTTCATGTATGCTTTCCTCCATTGTTTGAAAGCATACAGTTACATCCCAGTGTGAATTCTTTCAGGATTCTGATAATCACTCTGGTGGTGGATTTTCCACATTCTTACATGCATAGGGTTTCTCCCCATTATGAGTTCTTTCATGACTTTGACAGACATTATGTGCACTGAATGCTTTCCCACATTGCGTACACACCTAGGGTTTTTTTCCCCAGTGTGAATTCGTTCATATACTAGAAGGTTACCATTTTGCATGAATGCTTTCCCACATTGCTTACATGCATAGGA